CCAAGACCATCACCACAGCCTCTACCACCACCACGGCCAGAACCATCACCACGGCCAAGACCTTCACCACGGCCTCTACCACCACCACGACCTCTTCTAAGACCAAGTTGACTCCCTCTTTGTTGCCTAGTTCCTCGTTGACTTGTTTGATTTGAGTGGTTTGGCACTCCACCACTTGTTTGACTTGGTTGGCTATCCCTTGGTTCACTTGGTTGGCTATCATTTGCTTGGCTTGTGCTTGAACCATTTTTCTTTGATCTCTTTCTTGGTTTGGGACAAGTTCTTGTGTTGTGTCCCCCATTACTGCAGCCCCCACAACGGGATTCCTCACGAGGCTCTTGGAATTGGCCGGTGCCGTATTCTCCACCGCCACCACGGCCCCATCCGTCCATGTCACCTCTAAGACGCTTAGTCTTACGTCTTCCCTGGCTAACGACCTTCAATTCCGGGTCCGGCCATAGTTGAACTCCATGATACTCCGGCCATTGTGATTGGTCCAAGTATGGCTGGAACCGTGGAGTCCATGTCTTCTTTACCGTCATGATTGAGAACTCGGACTCCCTCACGGTTAGAGGGTGATTGACGTCCACATTCCTAACCCGGGATGCATTTAACAAGTGCGAGCATGGGAGATGAAGCAAAGACGGCCTCATGCAGCTGCAATCACACTGTGTTAGGGAGACCTTGAAAGCCCGGCCTCCGTGCTGGCGGCCATCATTTGTGGTTCCTCCGGGCTCTTTCACCTCATACTTCCACTCGTTGTCGTCATATAGAACAACTTCTTTGGAGTCTGCCTTTCGTGATTGAAATTCCAACCATTCTTCAACCTTTGGTGGGAAATTATACTTGTGCTTATCCTTGTTCTCACCAGCAATTTGCTTATCAGTCTCCATTGAGTGCTTCAAAAAGTATTCATTCATCTTGTCAAATGCGTATTGAACTATTGCCGTCACGGGTAATGCACGTACACCCTTGAGCACCTTATTGAAGCATTCTGCCGTATTGCTTGTCATTTGACCGTACCTCCGGCCATCTTCATCGAAAGCACGTGCCCACATATTCCTTTCGGCAATGTTCTTATTGAGAAACTCCTGACCGCCGGGGTCAAGTTTCTTGTGTCTGAGCAATGCATTGAACAATGTGGAAAACCGCTTGTTGGTGAAAGCGAGACAACAATCCTGAAGATCATCGGCCAACTCCTTGATACCACATGCCCTATAGAAGTTTGCACAAAAGTGCCTCATGCACCATCGATGATGCAACTTTCTATGTCCGGGAATGTCAATCACCACCGCATTTAGAATTCCAGCATGGCAATCCGATATGACACAAATTTCCCTTTCAGCCGATAATACCCTTGTTCTCAGTTGACGCAAGAACCACTCCCAGTTATCATTGTTCTCCACCTCAACCAAAGCGAAAGCCAAAGGCAACACCCGGTTATTGGCATCACTTGCTATTGCAACCAATAAAGTGCCCTTATATTGTCCGGTCAAGAACGTGCCATCAATGGCGATGACGGGCCGACAATGCTCAAAAGCCCTCACGCATTGCTCAAAGGCCCAAATGCACGGCCAAATACTCGGACGGTCCTCCCGTTATGAATCAAAGTTTGGTGCCCATCAGGCTCAACCACGTGAACCATGCCTGGGTTTGTGGCGGCCATAGCTAACAACAACCTAGGGAGTCTGTTGTATGCTTCCTCCCAATTGCCATACAACATCTTGAATGCGGCTTGCTTCGCCTTCCATGCCTTGCCGTATTTCACCTTGTAATGAAAGATGGCTTTCACAAGGTCAATGACACTCTTGATGCTCATTATTGGAAGTGTGGATATTTGGTTGGACAGCCTGTAAGCAATGAACTCGGACGTGAGTTGTCTGTGTTGTTGGTGCACAAGCTTGCCATCCGCATTCTTGTGCCGGCACATGTGAGTTGGTAGACAACTCACTATGCGCCAAGTGGGACCTCCTTTCCATGGCCTTGCACGCACAATCCATGGACATGTTGGCACTTCACATTTGACCGTGTAACGCACATTAACATCCGAGTTGGCCACTTTATGTGGACGATAATGTGTAACCGAGTAGTTGTCGAGCCACATCTTCAATTCCAAGAAGGATTGAAACTCACAACCGGGATATATCCCGTTCTTGCCGTCTTCCAAATCACGGTGAGAACTTGGCCTAGCTCCAAGAGATATGCATTTGCCACCATCCACAACGGCTTCATCCGCGAGACTAAGATCCTTGAACAATGGTGTCTTGTGATCCCGCCCGAATACCTTCTTGAATGCTTCGGCCTCCTTCGGCGTGAACCCCTCCTCATCAACTTCTTCATCGGGACCATCGTCATCCGAGTCCGATGCATATGCATGGGAAAAAGGGATGGATTGGTCCATTGTCTCTTGCACATGATATTGGTCGAGATCACCCACATTGTTGTCATGGAGGTCAACTTCGTTGTCATCCTCCTCGTACTCATCATTCTCCTCTTCAAAACCTTCATTTTGGTTGTTTGGAGTCGGGCTCAATGTTGGCCAATCTTGTTGCGTGAATTGAGGTTCACTCATTTGATCTTGGTTCATGGGTGGGGGAGTGCTAGCAACCAACGGGGAGGGGTTCCGATTCAAGTCTAAATTCAAAGTAGACTCAACCTTCTTGGAGACAAATAACTCAAGAGCCTTGTCTAGAGATTCGGCAATCGTCTCCTTGTATGCAACCCAACGTTGCTCGGAGTTCACACACATTGTCTTCCAATGGATGTGCATTTCAAAACCAACATTATGCCTTCCCTCGAACTCAACAACGTCACTTGGGTCCGTCCAATTCAAATCTTTCCTCACTTGTTCCAAAAGCTCCGCATAGCTAGGACTACTCTCAAACACCATGTCAAGCTCATTCGGGTCCGTCTCAACATTGCCTTTCAAAAAGGCCTCTCTATCCACATGATGAACATAAACATATGTTCTCCCCATCCCTACAATAATCAAAAACACACATATATCAAGTAAATACTTAAGAAAAATATTTGCACACATATGCCCTAACATATAAAACAACCATAACCATAGCATAACCCTAACACCAACATCAAACACACATAACCCTAACCCTAGCATACTATGGAAGCTTAACCAACCCAAGTTAGCAAAGAAACATAACATCATTCAACACAAATTTACAAATCCAAGTCAAAACTAGGGTTTCCCCCAAACTAGCAAGATTTGAGCAAATGTGACAATTCCTATGGATGAAAATGAGGGGATGGGAGGAGATTACCTTAAGGGAGGGGTTGGCTTCGAAATCCACGGTCAAATACTCCGGATTTGCAAGATTTGAGAAGGATTTGAGAGGGGGGAGAGGGGAAGAGAGGAGGGCCGCAAGCCTTAGGGTTTGGGTGGGGTGGGGGTGTGTGGGGTGGGGGTGGGAGGGGAGAGAGGGTGGGGCCAGCCCAAGTGGAACACAGACTGTGCAGCGCCCACGAGCTAGGCGCTGCACATTACATGTGTGGCGCCTAAGACTTAGGCGCTGCACAGGTGCGTGTGGGGCCGCAGCTGGACCAGGGCTGCCACGCTGGCAGGAAGTGTGGCGCCTAAGTGATGGGCGCTGCACAATAGGGTGCGACGCCCAGGTATCGGGCGTCACACGAAAGGGTCAGCAGAGTGAATTTTTTTTAAAAACAGGTCAGTTTGTGAATTGATTTCTGCCTCAGGTCAAATATATGATTTCTGCCTTCCAAAACCACCGCAGAACAGCACAAGCAAGCCAGCCAGCCAGCAGGCGGCAGCACAGCCGCCCCGGTCGTTGTGTACGCCTGCGAGTGTTGGAGGCGAAGAAAAATCTCGCTTCGTATAAAATAAAGCGAAAAATGGAAGCATGAGCTGCTCCACACCCTCCCCCCTCCGCTGATCCCCCGCAAACCCTAGCCCCGGCCTAGCCACTCCCTCCTCCTCGCCGGCGACCGACCGGCCGCGCGCCCGAGCCCGAGCCCGAGCCCGCCCCTGCGGCCGAGATGCCGCCGCACGGGGATCTGGACCGGCAGATCGCGCACCTGCGCGAGTGCAAGCACCTCCCGGAGGCGGAGGTCAAGGGGCTCTGCGAGCAGGCCAAGGCCATCCTCATGGAGGAGTGGAACGTGCAGCCCGTCCGCTGCCCCGTCACCGTCTGCGGCGACATCCACGGCCAGTTCTACGACCTCATCGAGCTCTTCCGCATCGGCGGCGAGTCGCCCGACACCAACTACCTCTTCATGGGCGACTACGTCGGTACGCCTCGCCTCCTTTCGCCTCTCGCGTGTGTTCGGGCGGCCGCTATCTCTGGGGGTTGCTGCGGCAAAATATGGCTTCTTTATAGTAGATCCTACACGGAATTCAGCCGGGGGTTCTTCTTGTCGGGAGAATTCGTTTCGAGAACTGTTGTGCTGGTTATTAGTATGTACTCTATGTAGCTTCTATTACTTCTCTAGGTTCCCATGGCGGTATCCTGTGCTGGTTACGTGTCTTATGTCTTGTTTGGACCTATAGCTTACAAGGATTTTGTGCGAGTCCTATCTTTAGGTCCTTGTAGATACCGCTATAAGGGCTGTAGGCTTGTAGCTAGAAAGAAGTTAAGAATTCTCATTAAATGATACCAGGTGCTTGAGAACGACCAAAAAAAAAGGTTCACACCATCTCTGTTCGGTGTCAAAAATTTCCTCAAGACGTGAAGATTTATAATTTTGTTGGCAATTAAATGTAGTTTTAGAAGCACTTAATGATACCAGGTGCACTCCATCTTTAGTTTTAGATGCACTCCATCTTGTGGCATTCCCAATATGGATAAATCTATAATATTGCTCTTAATGCAGATCGTGGCTACTATTCGGTGGAGACTGTTTCACTGTTAGTGGCTTTGAAAGTTCGCTACAGAGACAGAATTACGATATTGAGAGGAAATCATGAGAGCAGACAAATCACCCAAGTGTGAGTTTATGCCCTTCTAGACCTGGATTGCTGTTTTCAGCTCCTTATTATTGAGTACTTCCCCATATGAAGTAACAACTATCAAGTGATGACATTCGACATGTAATCTTTTGATCGTTTCTAGCCTGTTTAATCCTGAATTAACTTTGTCTAATTGACTAAATCTTGGAGGTGATGTATTTTGCCACATCGAGTATCATCTGATGCACTATGGCTAAGGCAATGCTCGACCTTTAGAATTTACAAAGCAGCTTGTCTTGTTACTGGAACTCAAGTTATTATTGCATAAAATTAAAAAGGAGCAGAACCCACCTAAATGTGTTGGTGAATTTATGTATGCATGAGATTGTTTGAAGTTGTCTTCTATGGGTAACAAAGTAGCAAAAAACTTTGAGCATAGTCTTGGTAAAATTTAGTTATGAACTTATGATCTACCTACTTTCTAGACGTATTTACGTGTTGATCACAGCAAAACTTCCAGCTAGATCATAAAATGACTATAGTTTTCACATTTATGCTTTTTGAGTAGTACTAATTTTCATATAGATGTGTTAGTAAAATTTTGGGGAAATTCATGAAAACTATAATTATACTATTCGGCAAAATGTTCACCGGTTGTGCTACAACTTAGTTGTTGACGTTGACTATTTTGCTGCAGATATGGCTTCTATGACGAGTGCTTGCGAAAATATGGGAATGCAAATGTATGGAAGTACTTTACAGACCTGTTTGATTATTTGCCTCTCACGGCTCTTATAGAAAACCAGGTTTGTTATTCAAGTAATTTTGTACGACTAGTGCAGGCGTATTTAATATATATGCCTGACATATGGGAAACACCTATTTGTAGGTGTTCTGCCTTCATGGTGGTCTCTCTCCATCATTAGATACATTAGATAACATTCGTGCTCTTGATCGCATACAAGAGGTAAGCAGCAAAGTTATCGCTGTCTTTATGAACTACTCCCTCCGTTCCTAAATATTTGTCTTTCTAGAGATTTCAACAAGTGACTGCATACGAAGCAAAATGAGTGAATCTAAACTCTAAAATATGTCTATATACATCCGTATGTGACAGTCCATTTGAAATCTTTAAAAAGACAAATATTTAGGAACGGAGGAAGTAGTACTCTTTTCTTGTTTCCCATTTAGAAGCATGCTTGGGTGGCGATATTTGCTATTTGTATTACCTAGGCACTAGGCAGGTATATGCAATGAAAACTGTTCTGTGATATCATCGATTTTCCTGTTTTTTGATTCACATCATGTGGATGTTAATTCAGATAAAATATCAATCCGGAAAACTTGATTTAGTTCAATGAGGTGGCATTAGGAATTCTCATGGAGTTGTGGTGGTGGATCTATATGATGTCATTTACCATATTTTTTTATTAGAATACTGAATAAATGAAGTTTTTTCTCTTCTGAGGATTAGAGCTCTACAGTTTGTAATGTTGAGTTGTTGACCATGAAGTGGATGGCTGTATATAATTGTATTTCTAACAGATACCTGTTGTGCTTATGAAGGATATCAATGATATCTGTTAAGTCTCGAGTCGTGACTTGTTTCCATGACTACTGAGGAAGAAACTGGACTTACTGCAAAATGTTTATTCTCAGTTTAATCACATATTTCTCATAATGGTTGCAGGTTCCTCATGAAGGGCCCATGTGTGATCTGTTGTGGTCTGATCCAGATGATCGATGTGGATGGGGGATTTCACCAAGAGGAGCTGGTTATACATTTGGGCAAGATATTGCGCAACAGTTCAACCATACAAATGGCCTCTCTCTTATATCAAGGGCCCATCAACTTGTAATGGAAGGGTTCAATTGGTGCCAGGTTGGTGTTCAGAACACAGCATTGGACAAAATATGATTTGATTATTTTATCTTGCAATTAATTAACCAATTGTAGTCATTCGCGGAAAATACCTACTGAAAAGTCTGAGCACCATCGTTCTGTCAAAGTTGCTTTAATATCTAATGAACAAATTCGAAGTACAATTGTTAACTACTCCCTCCGTTCCTAAATATAAGTCTTTCTAGAGATTCCAATATGGACTACATACGGAGCAAAATGAGTGAATCTACACTCTAAAATACGCCTATATACATCCGTATGTAGTCCATATATAGAAATCTCTAAAAAGACTTATATTTTGGGAACGGAGGTAGTATTTGTTTAGGAGACATGAATCTGGAATTTTCCAGTTCTTTGGTTAAAAGTTAATTAAGGTCACATACTATTGCGCTTATAATTGTGTTAAATTATAAACTGATGCGTTTACATATTCCTCAATATGCACAAAGCCTCCCTGAAAAGATTTTTTTTTACTAAAACGATTTTATCTAAGTTTCTGGAGGGACCAAATCAATCTACTGCTTAATCATATAGTCTATATAGTCTGGTTCTCTGTGTGGGCCAACCGGTGTAGATTACTGAGGTCCATGTTGTGTATGTAAGGGAACACAGACAAAGGTGTACAGTAGAGGGAACATATAAGCCCAATCCTGCATCAAACAGGATCACAAGGCAGATTTTAATTCTCTGTCGACTGCATTTTCCAATGGAATTGAGCAAAGTATCACTCATCCTATTTTAACGTATCATAAAAAGATATCAGGGAACTTGATTAAAATATTGGAAACTGCATCATCCTTTATGTGCAAGCCTTTTGCTTTGGTGCTTACATAAGCAGAAAACCTTCAAATAGCGATTTGCTTTGTTGTATCTTGTAGCATAACCTGTGGTTATTAAATTAACATTCGTGACTGCAAATTTTCATGCATTCTTGCGTCAGGCAAGGTTTTATACTCTTCTGGTGGCATACATAGGAAGGTTAAATAATTACCACGTTCTGATTTGCTCATGCAGGATAAGAATGTTGTAACGGTCTTCAGTGCACCAAACTACTGTTACCGATGTGGTAACATGGCCGCGATTCTTGAGATTGGGGAAAACATGGATCATAACTTCCTCCAGTTTGATCCAGCGCCTCGGCAAATCGAGCCTGACACAACACGCAAGACCCCCGACTACTTTTTGTAATTGTGGTGTTGACCTCTTTAACTACCGGTGCTGATGCTCCTTTCCTCCGCAGCGTCGGAGTGTGTAGATCTTGTGTCCTTAGATACGGGCTCCATGGGGCCCGAGCTGTATGTCAATTCTTTTGTTTGGAGATCCTTTTTTGCTGCTTCTCGATCTTTGCACGAGATGTTAAAGTTGCATGCTCTGATTTTTTTTTCCTGACGTGCTTCCATTTTGTATTGTTGGTACACAATGGAGGGAAGCTGCATTGGGATTTGTTATGTTAGCCTCTGTTATTGTTTTTCCTTTGGGTCCGAGCAGGATGCTTGCCTGAAGGAAGGTCTTCTCTGCATCATCTGGATATAACTGTTTCATTTTCATATGGACGGGGAGGCCCTACTGGCGATACTTGCATTCGCCCCTGTGTATGTTGGTCGGTGTATTATAATGTGTTTGATGTCCTATAAATGGGAAATATATGTTTGTACCTGAGTATTGTATCCGTTGTTTGTCTTATAAATGCTAGATAGGCCTTAATATCCGTTTTGAATTGTGCAAACATCTGATCTATATTCATATCCCAGTAACATTTGCATCCTTTTTCATATCCACTTTTTGATATATATATATATATACACACACACACACATTCAAGGTGGGAACGCTACCCAATATGCAACCAGTCTGTTTATGACCTTTTTTTCTTGTGAGGAAACGCAAAAGATTTTGTGTTTCATTTCATCGAACAGGAAGGGAATAGTAGGGACACACCATCGCCTTGTCCAGCCTCTAAGACCTTGTACAATGCTAGGTGTTTATGGAGATGCTTAAAAAAATAACTTGGGTATTTTTTGAAGCACCGGTGTCTATTTCTACAGGAGAGATGTCTAAGTAAGCGTCTACTTTCCTAAGCATCTTGCATTGTACCAGGCCTAACCATGAATGGCGAGGCAGCTAAACTCAGAGCCTCAAGGCTGCATCACAACCGTTGTCAGTCGGTAGGTAGATGTCAGGACCTGGCAAGAACTAAAGAAGCCATCATCTTGTACATGTTGGCCCTGACGTACATTACGCCTTAGACGCCCACGTCCTATGCTGCAGCCCACATCACAACAACCGCAATGCTGGCTAGCCTTGTCGGAAAGACCGGGAGGCCACCATCTTCAGCTGCCACAATGGGGACTTCAAGTGCAACCCAAGCAGCGTCTTCAAGAAGAGAAAGGCGCCGAGACGCTGACGCTACCTTGTCCAGCGAACTGAACCAAGGGTTTCCGCCCCGTGCTTGAGGAGAGGGTCCACTCAGGACCATGACAACGCCTCCATGGAGGTAACGGCACACTCACGTGTCGCCGTTGTCAGCGCAGGGATTTCGCCCAGGCATAGCCGCAGCCTCCGCCCCCAGGATCCGCCGAGGCATAGCCGCAGCCGCACCCCCACAGGGTCGCGCCACGCTGCTCATGTGCTCGCCACGCCAGGTCTAGAGGCCCGACTCTGGATATTGGATCGCCATCACAAGACCCTAGGCCCGGAGAAGCTCTGCTACGCCAGCCTCATCAAGCCGCCACGCTCGAGGAGGAAGCCACCGGGGAGCAAGGTCCAGCCGCCATCGGATCCGCCCAGGCTTTGCCCGGCGGGGGCACTGGCGGCGGCAAGGGAAGGTAAAGGTGGAGGGTAGGGGGTGCTCAAGGGGGGTCACGTCGCCCCCCGAGTCGCCCGTAGGGAGGTGATGCGGGGATTGAAGGGTAAGTGTTCAGGTGTTAGCAACATGACACGTTGTATAATGGACTCGTGAGTCATGACACAAGACAAATAAATACTGCCAGATATCTTTCATGCAAAGAAAGTACTCCGATCTTCTCAAAATGTAAGGCATGCTTGATTTTCATGCAAAGAAAGTACTCCAATCTTCTAAAAAATGTAAGGCATGCTTGATTTTACACAGTATTTGATGCACAACTTTGAACATGAAAGTAGTACATGGTTTGTTTGGATACGAATATATTTACTCTTTTTTAGAGGTAAAGCCTTGCCGATAATATAGAAATAAAGCACTAGCGCGGGGTCCTCATGCAAGTGTTGTGGGGACCAACTATGTCCAGCTAAAGTATCTGCAGCCACATTGGATACCTCCCCAGGACAATGCTCAAAGCAAACCCTAGTAAAATCCTCTTTTTAAGTTTGGTCCAGCCATGTCGCTCTATTTCATGTCTTGATTGGTTATAGAGTACTTGTCAAAAAATGTCTTACATTATAAGACGGAGGGAATAATCTTTTCTTTTTCTTTTGAGCTGTCGATCACTGTAGTTAGTGGCCAGCGCTGCAATAGACGGTGCCTGTATCATCTATAAATCCAACACTAGCATCTGTAAATCGGATTGTTCAAAAAAGAAAATTCTGTAAATCGGATGCTTAGGGCTCCTTTGATTCAAAGAAATTCAACAGGATTTTTTAAGGATTGAAATTATTTGGAATTTTTTCTATGTTTGTTCTTTGATTCATAGGATTAAATCTCATAATTTTTTTTCTTTGGAATCTTTTGCACTACATTTTATAAAAAATCTGACATCCACTTCAACCTCTTTGTACAATTCCTTTACTTTTCATGTGAAATCAAATACTCCTTACTAATCCTATAGGATTCAAATGGGCATGACACTCTAATCATATACCTTTCCTATTGTTACGTTTTCAAAATCGATCCTGCGAAACAAAGAGGCCCTTAGAGCATCTCCAGCCACGCCCCCAACAGGGCCTCCCCAAGTGGTTATGCCGCGCCGGCGCCCAAAATTCGACCTAGTCGCGTCCCCGGTAGCCCGTTTTTCGCCGGCTTGGGCCGAAACTGGTGGGCAGACCCGAGCCGAACCCGGCGCGCTGGGGCGCGCCTGGGGGCGCCGGCACAAGCGAAAAGGGGCGTGGGGCCGCTCTGTCGGCGAGTCGAGAGCCTCTTCCCGCCGTTTCTTCCCGCCCTCGCCCCCCACTTCCCTCTCATTCTCTCCTTTCCTCCCGCCAATCTCCCTCCCGCTCGCCTCCCAGTCGCCGCCATGCCGCCGAAGAAGTACGTGATTCCCCGCGCTGCGACCACCGCGACCGCCTCCGCCGCCCAGCCGAAGCAGAGGAAGCCGAGGGCGCCGTCGTTCAATCCATCGGGCATGACAAACGCCGAGTGGAGGGCGAAAGTTCAGTGACAGAAGGCTGTCACCGCCGACCATCGGAACAGGGCAATCGCCAAGAAGGCCCGTGACAACGCGGCACGTGCCGCTGCGGCTGCGGTGGACCAAGCCGAGGCCGAGGCGACTCGCTTGGGGATGATGAATCCACCCGGCGGTCACGCCCAGTACGCGCCCTGGAGCCAGCAAAGCGTCGGCTCTCCGTCCGGCTTCTTGTCGTCGCCGCAGCCATGGGGATGCACGCCGTCGCTGGGCTACGCCGACGGGAACGCGGACGGTGGGTTCAACCCCAACGTCACCTTCCCCATGGACACCCCGCCCGCGCATGCCCTCGCCCGCCTTCACCGGCGTGTAGTACCCTCCATACAACTACTCGCCACCGGCTTACGCGTGCTCCCCGACGCCCCCTCTCCGCCGTGGCGTGCTGCCCTTCTCACAAGCTTCCACGTCGCACCTCGGCGACACCGACGAGACCGATGCCGACATGGACGACATCATCGCGGCAGGCTCGGCCGCGGCCGCCGCGTCGCCCGGGTTCGCTACCCCGGGCGACACTGTGGATCTCAACGGTGGCATGGACGGCGAGCTCGACTACGGCGAGGAGGAGCCGGAGGAGGAGGAGGAACCGGCGACCGTTCCGGCGAGGAGGCGCAAGAAGAAGAGGGGGGCGGCCAGGACCGGCGAGCCGCGCATCAAGTGGGCGTCCAAGGAGTAGGAATGCCTCACCGAAGCGTAGAAAGTCGTCTGCCTCGACCCGACCACCGGCACGAACCAGAGCATCGAGGCGTACTAGGAGCACATTAAGGTCGAGTTCGACGAGCTTCCCTACTTCAAAGGCGTCTACATGCAGGGCGGGGCGAAGGCAATGGCGAAACATTGGGGGCTCATCCAGGCGGCGTGCAACAAATGGCATGGGGTCGTCGAGGAGGTCGCGGCTCGCCCGGAGAGCGGCGCCAACGTTGAGGATCAGGTATGGCACGCCGGTCTCACGCTTCTCTTCGCCGTGTGCGCCCGCCAACTGTTTGTTCCTCCGCGCAGCTGGTGCGCATGTTCGCCTTGTACCGCCTAGGCAACCGCGATCAAGAGTTCAAGTACCTCCACGTTTACAAGCGCATTGACAAGTGCGAGAAGTGGGCGGAAGTCCGACGCACCCTCGACAAGGCCAAGGAGACCTACAAGCCGTATGCGTCGACGTCGGGCGCGTCAGAGGGGCGGCCGGACGACAACAAAGGGGCCAAGAAGGCGAAACACGCCGACGCGGCTACCGCACGCGTGCAGGAGTCCATCTAGCATTGCCTCGCCGACGCACAGGCACGGGACGTCTTGCGTGAAGAGAAGACCGAGGCGCGGTGGTCGGCATTGATGACGAGCAGCGCCGTCAAGCTCGACCTACTCCGGACCAACGTCGTCGCGAAGAAGAGGAACACCGACATGGCTTTCCTGCTGGGCAGGGCGGACATGCTCCAGAGCAACGACGAGGAGGTCAAGGCGTGGTACTTGGCGGAGCGTGGTCTCATCCTAAACCAGCTGCTGTCGACGGCGCCGCCAACTCCCACACCCACGCTGCCGCCACCACCAAGCTCGAGCGATGATGCCTCCATGACTCCCCGCAGTACAGAAGCCACGCCGACGCCGCCCAGCACAGAAGAAGCTCCGACCCCGCCAAGCCCGCGCACGCCGACGCCAGAGGCCGACCTCGCCGTCTGATGCGCTGCACGCGCTTCATTTCTTTTTGTACGTCGAAATTTTCATTCGATCGCCGAACTGTGACCGCATGATCACCGTCTATTTTATGAGCGGGAATGACTACGTTTGAATTTGCCGCGGGTTGGAGGGCGCCTCGGGGCGTGGCTG